TTTTTGGAGAAATGTCCTCTGGTCTGATGAAACAAAAATAGAACTGATTGGCCATAATGACCATCGTTATGTTTGGAGGAAAATGGGGTCGGCTTGCAAGCCAAAGAACACCATCCCAACCGTGAAGCACAGGGGTGGCAGCATCATGTTGTGGGGGTGCTTTGCTGCAGGAGGGACTGGTGCACTTCACAAAATAAATGGCATCATGAGGAAGGAAAGTTATGTGGATATATTGAAGCAACATCTCAAGACATCAGTCAGGAAGTTCAAGCTTGGTCGCAAATGGGTCTTCCAAATGGACAATGTCAAGGTATTGGAGTGGCCATCACAAAGCCCTGACCTCAATCCTATAGAACATTTGTGGGCAGAACTGAAAAAGCGCGTGCGAGCAAGGAGGCCTACAAACCTGAGTCAGTTACACCAGCTCTGTCAGGAGGAATGGGCCAAAATTCACCCAACTTATTGTGGGAAGCTTGTGGAAGGCTACCCAAAACGTTTGACCCAAGTTAAACAATTTAAAGGCAATGCTACCAAATACTAATTGAGTGTATGTAAACTTCTGACCCACTGGGAATGTGATGAAAGAAATAAAAGCTGAAATAAATCATTCTCCCTACTATTATTCTGACATTTCAATTTTTTTTAATAAAGTGGTGATCCTAACTGACCTAAGACAGGGAAGTTTTACTAGGAATAAATGTCAGGAATTGTGAAAAACTGAGTTTAAATGTATTTGGCTAATGTGTATGTAAACTTCCGACTTCAATTGTACATGTTATGTTTATGTACACATATTTGGATAAAGAACAAATGGCATGCTATCAGATTAAGCCAAAACTACTACAGTATACATTTTATTTTTCTGAATATTTCGTAAATATCGGTGCATTACTGTAATGAAAAGCAGGTTTCGTTTATGATAATGCATGTTTTGGTAATGAGTGTTGCATAGTTTGCCATTGAAAAACTGTACTGAGCTCTATTAGAGATTCAGTAACCCAATACAACATCAAACTGCGTCATTTGTTAAGCCCACATAACTTGTATAATACTAGAATCACTGATCTTAATACAATTGACTAAAATACCCCTTATTTTAGCATAAGTATAAGTACTGTAATTACGTGCATGTATTTTCAAAGTTAAAAGGTTATTTTATTTTTTACATAATCTTTTCTCCAAGGTCTTTACAGGTAATATTGGTGTATTAAAACATGGATATGTGTGGTTCTAAGGTATTTTAGATCTATTTCTAAATGTAATGGCATCCTATGGGCAAATGGCATAACATGATATGGATGTAAATAATCTAAATAAGTGGGATATGGACCAAAAACTGTCTTGGGATATCAAACAACAGTACAGGTAAGTGCCGAAACAGGTACACATGTAAAAATGATGGATATCCTCTTTTAAGTGGGTGGGTTGCTCTTTGCTGAAACACAAACTTGTGGCTTTAAGTAAATTAAATGGGGTTTATACACACATATTTCTTGACAACTCCTACTTAATCAAATAACTGAGGTTTTACAAAAACTCTATACAATAGGCATAAGCAGTGGTCCTAGTAAAAAATCAAAGTTACCAGCACAGCACACCCATTGACTATACAGTGGTGGAAAAAAGTATTTAGTCAGCCACCAATTGTGCAAGTTCTCCCACTTAAAAATATGAGAGAGGCCTGTAATTTTCATCATAGGTACACGTCAACTATGACAGAGAAAATGAGGAAAAAAATTCCAGAAAATCCCATTGTAGGATTTTTAATGAATTTATTTGCAAATTATGGTGGAAAATAAGTATTTGGTCAATAACAAAAGTGTCTTAATACTTTGTTATATACCCTTTGTTGGCAATGACACAGGTCAAACGTTTTCTGTAAGTCTTCACAAGGTTTTCACACACTGTTGCTGGTATTTTGGCCCATTCCTCCATGCAGATCTCCTCTAGAGCAGTGATGTTTTGGGGCTGTCGCTGGGCAATACGGACTTTCAACTCCCGCCAAAGATTTTCTATGGGGTTGAGATCTGGAGACTGGCTAGGCCACTCCAGGACCTTGAAATGCTTCTTACGAAGCCACTCCTTCGTTGCCCGGGCGGTGTGTTTGGGATCATTGTCATGCTGAAAGACCCAGCCACGTTTCATCTTCAATGCCCTTGCTGATGGAAGGAGGTTTTCACTCAAAATCTCATGATACATGGCCCCATTCATTCTTTCCTTTACACAGATCAGTCGTCCTGATCCCTTTGCAGAAAAACAGCCCCAAAGCATGATGTTTCCACCCCCATGCTTCACAGTAGGTATGGTGTTCTTTGGATGCAACTCAGCATTCTTTGTCCTCCAAACACAACGAGTTGAGTTTTTACCAAAAAGTTATATTTTGGTTTCATCTGACATTCTCCCAATCCTCTTCTGGATCATCCAAATGCACTCTAGCAAACTTCAGACGGGCCTGGACATGTACTGGCTTAAGCAGGGGGACACGTCTGTACTGCAGGATTTGAGTCCCTGGCAGCGTAGTGTGTTACTGATGGTAGGCTTTGTTACTTTGGTCCCAGCTCTCTGCAGGTCATTCACTAGGTCCCCCCGTGTGGTTCTGGGATTTTTGCTCACCGTTCTTGTGATCATTTTGACCCCACAGGGTGAGATCTTGCGTGGAGCCCCAGATCGAGGGAGATTATCAGTGGTTTTGTATGTCTTCCATTTCCTAATAATTGCTCCCACAGTTGATTTCTTCAAACCAAGCTGCTTACCTATTGCAGATTCAGTCTTCCCAGCCTGGTGCAGGTCTACAATTTTGTTTCTGGTGTTCTTTGACAGCTCTTTGGTCTTGGCCATAGTGGAGTTTGGAGTGTGACTGTTTGAGGTTGTGGACAGGTGTCTTTTATACTGATAACAAGTTCAAACAGGTGCCATTTATACAGGTAACGAGTGGAGGACAGAGGAGCCTCTTAAAGAAGAAGTTACAGGTCTGTGAGAGCCAGAAATCTTGCTTGTTTGTAGGTGACCAAATACTTATTTTCCACCATAATTTGCAAATAAATTCATTAAAAATCCTACAATGTGATTTTCAGGATTTTTTTTCCTCTTCATCTTTTTAAGTGGGAGAACTTGCACAATTGGTGGCTGACTAAATACTTTTTTTCCCCACTCTACATTAGAATTAGCTTATTATCATTACCGAAATTAAGGTTCTCAGTACCGAAACTGACCTAAAAAATACGTGGTAATGAGAAATGTGTGTTTCGGTAATGAGAGGCCCTTAGCTCAATCTGCAAGTAATAGGAGACAGCTATTATGAGTTAGTAAACAATTGAACACGTCACTAGAGCCCATTCATGCCTCCATGTTGGTAAGGTAATGGTTCTCTAAGTTTTAACCAATTTGAGCTTTTTAATCATTTCGGTAATGAGAAGGTCAAGTGTCGTAAAGGGGGTGTTTGAGAATAAGATCCTCATTCCCGCATATAAGTGAATAAATTAAATGAACTTGTGCTCATCTAAGGACTACTCCTTTATTTAAAAAACGTTATTATAAAAATTATTAGTGTTTTTACAGCAAATCAAAAAAGTGTTACGGTAATGAGAAACATGTCCACAGACACTGTGTTTTTACGTAATAAATATTCTAGTTTAATGTAAACTTCAACTAGTATAAAACGTTTATGATTTATGGACAAACTACAGCAACATATTTTGTGTTTTATTAAAATAAGTTAGGTTTTTCTAAAGTAAAATTGTATAAAATGACCAGAGAATTTAATCCGGACGCATTTCGGTAATGAGAATTTGGGGTGAAAATGTACAAAATTTGGGCGAAAATGTCAAATGTATTTTAAAATAAGACACTGTGCCATAAACTAAGCATCTTAGTCTTCAGAATGATAGCTGATTGTTGCAGATGCATTATGGTTTTCTAACACAATTTGTTACTGCCATGGTTAAAACTGGTTTCATGAGAATCACCCACCATGGTATTATACAAAGCTATGTTCGCATGGAATTCCCTTCCATCTCCAATTACTCAAGCAAACTGCAAAATTATAAAATGTATAAAACAACATCTCATGGCACAATAGGGACTGTGAAATGACACACACACGAACATTCACATTTTAGTCTGTTAGCAGACGCTCTTATCCAGAGCGACTTGGGCCTTACGCAAGGGCACATCGACAGATTTTTCACCTAGTTTCACCTAGATTTTTCACCGCTAGGCTACCTGCCACCCACACATAGACACACTATAACACTCTAACACACAATATACACACACATTATTCTTTAGTTGTATTGTTTGTATATTGTATTATATATTTATGTGACTGTTCTTGTCTATGAATGTATCAGTGTTTTGTTATTTGTCGTGTTTTATGTTTTTGTGTGGACCCCAGGAAGAATAGCTGCTGCTTGTGTAAAAGCTAATGGGGATCCGGATAAACCAACCAATGATAATAGCATGATATAATTATAGGACACTTCTGCAGCTTTTTGGGGAAAATCTTGACATTGGTTAGCGCTACAGCTCCCTCTGCTGGAAAATTTTATGTTAGACACAGGGACTAAAAGGAAAAAAGGGCCTCGCGAGTGGCGCAGCGGTCTAAGGCACTGCAGTGCTTGAGGAGACACTACAGATCCGGGTTCGATCCCGGGCTGTGTCGCAGACGGCCGCGACCGAGAGACCCATGAGGCGACACACAATCGGCTCAGCGTCGTCCGGGTTAGGGGAGGGTTTGGCCGGCCGGGATGTCCTTGTCCCATCGTGCTCTAGCGACTCCTGTGGCGAGCTGGGCGCATGCACGCTGACACGGTCGCCAGTTGTACGGTGTTTCCTCTGACACATTGGTGCGGCTGGCTTCCGGGTTAAGTGAGCAGTGTGTCAAGAAGCAGTGCGGCTTGGCAGGGTCATGTTTCGGAGGACGCATGGCTCTCGACCTTCGCCACTCCCGAGTCTGTACGGGAGTTGCAGTGATGGGACAAGACTGTAACTACCAACTGTGTCTGTTTGTTTTCAGGATCGTCTGACATTCAGGAGGATCATTGTAAAGAACAACGCGTTGAAGAGGAGACTTTATGAGGAGTTCATTGAATCACTTCCATTCCTTACATCATTAGAGGTATAGGTCTATTGTGTTTCTGTCTTTACCAGTAGAATATGTTTTTGTGAACGCAAAAGTGTATTTTTCTACATTAGTACGAACACATCCCTGCAATCCAAACTGTGTGTGCCGTGTTATTCCCAGTTTTCAGATTATGTGTATTTTAAAGTATAGAACAAACTCATCCCTGCAAACCAAACATATTAACCAAACATATGTTTCTTAACAAACTTTGCCTTCCCTGTTATCCCCAGCTTTCAGAGAGAATGAAAGTAGTGGACGTGCTGTCTTCTAAAGCTTTCAGCGATGAAGAACAGATCATCACTCAGGTATTGTTTTCTCCATCTTCTATTCTATTGTATTCAATATGATCTTGCCAAGTAATTGCACTTCTTCCGAGTATTTATTTCATTCTAATGTACAGTGCATTATGAAAGTATTCAGACCCCATGTATTTTTCCACATTTTGTTACGTTAAAGCCTTATTCTAAAATGGATGAAATTGTTTTTTTCCCCTCATCAATAACCCATAATGACAAAGCAAAAAATTGTTTTTTAGACATTTTTGCTAATTTTTAAACGGAAATATCACATTTTAAACGGAAATATCACATTTACATAAGTATTCAGACCCTTTACTCAGTACTTTGTTGAAGCACCTGTGGCAGCGATCATCGCCTTGAGTCTTTCTTGGGTATGACGCTACAAGCTTGGCACACCTGTATTTGGGGACTTTCTCCCATTCTTCTCTGCAGATCCTCTCAAGCTCTGTCAGGTTGGATGGGGAGCTTTGCTGCACAGCTATTTTCATGTCTCTCCAGAGATGTTCGATCAGGTTCAAGTCTGGGCTCTGGCTGGGCCACTCAAGGACATTCAGAGACTTGTCCCGAAGCCACGCCTGTGTTGTCTTGGCAGTGTGCTTAGGGTTGTTTGTCCTGTTGGAAGGTGAACCTTAGCCCCAGTCTGAGGTCCTGAGTGCTCTGGAGCAGGTTTTCATCAAGGATCTCTCTGTACTTTGCTCCATTCATCTTTGCCTCGATCCTGACTACACTCCCAGTCCCTGCCGCTGAAAGACATCCCCAGAGCATGATGCGGCCACAACCATGTTTCACAGTAGGGATGGTGCCATGTTTCCTCCAGGCGTGACACTTGGCATTCAGGCCAAAGAGTTCAATCTTGGTTTCATCAGACCAGAGAATCTTGTTTCTCATGGTCTGAGAGTCTTTATGTGTCTTTTGGCCAACTCCAAGCAGGTTGTCGTGCCTTTTACTGAGGAATGGCTTCTGTCTGGCCACTCTACCATTAAAGCCTGATTGGTGGTATGCTGCAGAGATGGTTGTCCTTCTGGTAGGTTCTCCCATCTCCACAGAGGAACTCTGGAGCTCTGTCAGAGTGACCATTGGGTTCTTGGTGACCTCCCTGACCAAGGCCCTTCTCCCCCGATTGCTCAGTTTGGCTGGGCAGCCAGCTCTAGGAAGAGTCTTGGTGGTTCCAAACTTTTTCCATTTAAGAATGATGGAGGCCACTGTGTTCTTGAGGTCCTTCAATGCTGCAGACATTTTTTGGTAGACTTCCCCAGATCTTTGCCTCGATACAATCCTCTCGGAACTCTACGGACAATTCCTTCGACCTCATGGTTTTTGCTCTGACATACACTTGTCAATTGTGGGACCTTATATAGACAGGTGTGTGCCTTTCAAAATTATGTCCAATCAATTGAATTTACCACAGGTGGACTCCAAGTTGTACATTTACATTTACATTTACGTCATTTAGCAGACGCTCTTATCCAGAGCGACTTACAAATTGGTGCATTCACCCTATAGCCAGTGGGATAACCACTTTACAATTTTTTTTTTTTTTTTTTTTGGGGGGGGGGGGGTAGAAGGATTACTTTATCCTATCCCAGGTATTCCTTAAAGAGGTGGGGTTTCAAATGTCTCCGGAAGGTGGTGAGTGACTCCGCTGTCCTGGCGTCGTGAGGGAGCTTGTTTCACCATTGGGGTGCCAGAGCAGCGAACAGTTTTGACTGGGCTGAGCGGGAACTATGCTTCCGCAGAGGAAGGGGAGCCAGCAGGCCAGAGGTGGATGAACGCAATGCCCTCGTTTGGGTGTAGGGACTGATCAGAGCCTGAAGGTACGGAGGTGCCGTTCCCCTCACAGCTCCATTGGCAAGCACCATGGTCTTGTAACAGATGCGAGCTTCAACTGGAAGCCAGTGGAGTGTGCGGAGGAGCGGGGTGACGTGAGAGAACTTGGGAAGGTTGAACACCAGACGGGCTGCGGCATTCTGGATGAGTTGTAGGGGTTTAATGGCACAGGCAGGGAGCCCAGCCAACAGCGAGTTGCAGTAATCCAGACGGGAGATGACAAGTGCCTGGATTAGGACCTGTGCCGCTTCCTGTGTAAGGCAGGGTCGTACTCTCCGAATGTTGTAGAGCATGAACCTGCAGGATCGGGTCACCGCCTTGATGTTAGCGGAGAACGACAGGGTGTTGTCCAGGGTCACGCCAAGGCTCTTCGCACTCTGGGAGGAGGACACAACGGAGTTGTCAACCGTGATGGCGAGATCATGGAACGGGCAGTCCTTCCCCGGGAGGAAGAGCAGCTCCGTCTTGCCAGGGTTCAGCTTGAGGTGGTGATCCGTCATCCATACTGATATGTCTGCCAGACATGCAGAGATGCGATTTGCCACCTGGTTATCAGAAGGGGGAAAGGAGAAGATTAGTTGTGGATCGTCAGCGAAGCAATGATAGGAGAGGCCATGTGAGGATATGACAGAGCCAAGTGACTTGGTGTATAGGGAGAATAGGAGAGGGCCTAGAACTGAGCCCTGGGGGACACCAGTGGTGAGAGCACGTGGTGCGGAGACAGCTTCTCGCCACGCCACTTGGTAGGAGCGACCGGTCAGGTAGGACGCAATCCAAGAGTGAGCTGCGCCGGAGATGCCCAGCTCGGAGAGGGTGGAGAGGAGGATCTGATGGTTCACAGTATCAAAGGCAGCAGACAGGTCTAGAAGGACAAGAGCAGAGGAGAGAGAGTTAGCTTTAGCAGTGCGGAGAGCCTCTGTGACACAGAGAAGAGCAGTCTCAGTTGAATGACCAGTCCTGAAACCTGACTGGTTTGGATCAAGAAGGTCATTCTGAGAGAGATAGCAAGAGAGTTGGCTAAAGACGGCACGCTCAATAGTTTTGGAAAGAAAAGAAAGAAGGGATACTGGTCTGTAGTTGTTGACATCAGTGGGATCGAGTGTTGGTTTTTTGAGAAGGGGTGCAACTCTCGCTCTCTTGAAGACGGAAGGGACATAGCCAGCGGTCAAGGATGAGTTGATCAGCGAGGTGAGGTAGGGGAGAAGGTCACCGGAGATGGTCTGGAGAAGAGAGGAGGGGATGGGGTCAAGCGGGCAGGTTGTTGGGCGGCCTGCAGTCACAAGTCGCAAGATTTTATCTGGAGAGAGAGGGGAGAAAGAAGTCAAAGCACAGGGTAGGGCAGTGTGAGCAGGACCAGCAGTGTCATTAGACTTAACAAACGAGGATCGGATGTCGTCAACCTTCTTTTCAAAGTGGTTGACGAAGTCATCCACAGAGAGGGAGGGAGGGAGGGGGGGGGGGGGGGGGGGGGGGATTCAGCAGGGAGGAGAATTTGGCAAAGAGCTTCCTAGGGTTAGAGGCAGATGCTTGGAATTTAGAGTGGTAGAAAGTGGCCTTAGCAGCAGAAACAGATGAAGAAAATGTAGTGAGGAGGGAGTGAAAAGATGCCAGGTCGGCAGGGAGTTTAGTTTTCTTCCATTTCCGCTCAGCTGCCCGGAGCTCTGTTCTGTGAGCTCGCAATGAGTCATCAAGCCACGGAGCTGGAGGGGAGGACCGAGCCGGCCGGGAGGATAGGGGACACAGAGAGTCAAAGGATGCAGAAAGGGAGGAGAGGAGGGTTGAGGAGGCAGAATCAGGAGATTGGAGGGAGAAGGATTGAGCAGAGGGAAGAGATGATAGGATGGAAGAGGAGAGAGTAGTGGGAGAGAGAGAGCGAAGGTTGCGGCGGCGCATTACTCCAAGCAGGTTGTCGTGCCTTTTACTGAGGAATGGCTTCTGTCTGGCCACTCTACCATTAAAGCCTGATTGGTGGTATGCTGCAGAGATGGTTGTCCTTCTGGTAGGTTCTCCCATCTCCACAGAGGAACTCTGGAGCTCTGTCAGAGTGACCATTGGGTTCTTGGTGACCTCCCTGACCAAGGCCCTTCTCCCCCGATTGCTCAGTTTGGCTGGGCAGCCAGCTCTAGGAAGAGTCTTGGTGGTTCCAAACTTTTTCCATTTAAGAATGATGGAGGCCACTGTGTTCTTGAGGTCCTTCAATGCTGCAGACATTTTTTGGTAGACTTCCCCAGATCTTTGCCTCGATACAATCCTCTCGGAACTCTACGGACAATTCCTTCGACCTCATGGTTTTTGCTCTGACATACACTTGTCAATTGTGGGACCTTATATAGACAGGTGTGTGCCTTTCAAAATTATGTCCAATCAATTGAATTTACCACAGGTGGACTCCAAGTTGTACATTTACATTTACGTCATTTAGCAGACGCTCTTATCCAGAGCGACTTACAAATTGGTGCATTCACCCTATAGCCAGTGGGATAACCACTTTACAATTGTTTTTTTTTTTTTTTTTGGGGGGGGGGTAGAAGGATTACTTTATCCTATCCCAGGTATTCCTTAAAGAGGTGGGGTTTCAAATGTCTCCGGAAGGTGGTGAGTGACTCCGCTGTCCTGGCGTCGTGAGGGAGCTTGTTTCACCATTGGGGTGCCAGAGCAGCGAACAGTTTTGACTGGGCTGAGCGGGAACTATGCTTCCGCAGAGGAAGGGGAGCCAGCAGGCCAGAGGTGGATGAACGCAATGCCCTCGTTTGGGTGTAGGGACTGATCAGAGCCTGAAGGTACGGAGGTGCCGTTCCCCTCACAGCTCCATTGGCAAGCACCATGGTCTTGTAACAGATGCGAGCTTCAACTGGAAGCCAGTGGAGTGTGCGGAGGAGCGGGGTGACGTGAGAGAACTTGGGAAGGTTGAACACCAGACGGGCTGCGGCATTCTGGATGAGTTGTAGGGGTTTAATGGCACAGGCAGGGAGCCCAGCCAACAGCGAGTTGCAGTAATCCAGACGGGAGATGACAAGTGCCTGGATTAGGACCTGTGCCGCTTCCTGTGTAAGGCAGGGTCGTACTCTCCGAATGTTGTAGAGCATGAACCTGCAGGATCGGGTCACCGCCTTGATGTTAGCGGAGAACGACAGGGTGTTGTCCAGGGTCACGCCAAGGCTCTTCGCACTCTGGGAGGAGGACACAACGGAGTTGTCAACCGTGATGGCGAGATCATGGAACGGGCAGTCCCTCCCCGGGAGGAAGAGCAGCTCCGTCTTGCCAGGGTTCAGCTTGAGGTGGTGATCCGTCATCCATACTGATATGTCTGCCAGACATGCAGAGATGCGATTCGCCACCTGGTTATCAGAAGGGGGAAAGGAGAAGATTAGTTGTGGATCGTCAGCGAAGCAATGATAGGAGAGGCCATGTGAGGATATGACAGAGCCAAGTGACTTGGTGTATAGGGAGAATAGGAGAGGGCCTAGAACTGAGCCCTGGGGGACACCAGTGGTGAGAGCACGTGGTGCGGAGACAGCTTCTCGCCACGCCACTTGGTAGGAGCGACCGGTCAGGTAGGACGCAATCCAAGAGTGAGCCGCGCCGGAGATGCCCAGCTCGGAGAGGGTGGAGAGGAGGATCTGATGGTTCACAGTATCAAAGGCAGCAGACAGGTCTAGAAGGACAAGAGCAGAGGAGAGAGAGTTAGCTTTAGCAGTGCGGAGAGCCTCTGTGACACAGAGAAGAGCAGTCTCAGTTGAATGACCAGTCCTGAAACCTGACTGGTTTGGATCAAGAAGGTCATTCTGAGAGAGATAGCAAGAGAGTTGGCTAAAGACGGCACGCTCAATAGTTTTGGAAAGAAAAGAAGGAAGGGATACTGGTCTGTAGTTGTTGACATCATTAGGATCGAGTGTTGGTTTTTTGAGAAGGGGTGCAACTCTCGCTCTCTTGAAGACGGAAGGGACATAGCCAGCGGTCAAGGATGAGTTGATCAGCGAGGTGAGGTAGGGGAGAAGGTCACCGGAGATGGTCTGGAGAAGAGAGGAGGGGATGGGGTCAAGCGGGCAGGTTGTTGGGCGGCCTGCAGTCACAAGTCGCAAGATTTTATCTGGAGAGAGAGGGGAGAAAGAAGTCAAAGCACAGGGTAGGGCAGTGTGAGCAGGACCAGCAGTGTCATTAGACTTAACAAACGAGGATCGGATGTCGTCAACCTTCTTTTCAAAGTGGTTGACGAAGTCATCCACAGAGAGGGAGGGGGGGGGGGGGGGGGGGGATTCAGCAGGGAGGAGAATTTGGCAAAGAGCTTCCTAGGGTTAGAGGCAGATGCTTGGAATTTAGAGTGGTAGAAAGTGGCCTTAGCAGCAGAAACAGATTAAGAAAATGTAGAGAGGAGGGAGTGAAAAGATGCCAGGTCGGCAGGGAGTTTAGTTTTCTTCCATTTCCGCTCAGCTGCCCGGAGCTCTGTTCTGTGAGCTCGCAATGAGTCATCAAGCCACGGAGCTGGAGGGGAGGACCGAGCCGGCCGGGAGGATAGGGGACACAGAGAGTCAAAGGATGCAGAAAGGGAGGAGAGGAGGGTTGAGGAGGCAGAATCAGGAGATTGGAGGGAGAAGGATTGAGCAGAGGGAAGAGATGATAGGATGGAAGAGGAGAGAGTAGTGGGAGAGAGAGAGCTAAGGTTGCGGCGGCGCATTACCATCGGTGTAGGGGCAGAGTGAGTAGTGTTGGAGGAGAGCGAGAGAGAAAAGGATACAAAGTAGTGGTCGGAGACATGTAGGGGAGTTGCAGTGAGATTAGTGGAAGAGCAGCATCTAGTAAAGATGAGGTCAAGCGTATTGCCTGCCTTGTGAGTAGGGGGGGACGGTGAGAGGGTGAGGTCAAAAGAGGAGAGGAGTGGAAAGAAGGAGGCAGAGAGAAATTAGTCAAATGTAGACGTAGGGAGGTTGAAATCCCCCAAAACTGTGAGGGGTGAGCCATCCTCAGGAAAGGAACTTATCAAGGCGTCAAGCTCATTGATGAACTCTCCAAGGGAACCTGGAGGGCGATAGATGACAAGGATATTAAGCTTAAATGGGCTAGTGACTGTGACAGCATGGAATTCAAATGAGGAGATAGACAGATGGGTTAGGGGAAAAATTGAGAATGACCACTTGGGAGAGATGAGGATTCCTGTGCCACCACCCCTCTGACCAGATGCTCTCGGGGTATGCGAGAACACATGGTCAGACGAGGAGAGAGCAGTAGGAGTAGCAGTGTTTTCAGTGGTAATCCATGTTTCCGTCAGCGCCAGGAAGTCGAGGGACTGGAGGGTAGCATAGGCTGGGATGAAGTCAGCCTTGTTGGCAGCAGAACGGCAGTTCCAGAGGCTGCCTGAGACCTGGAACTCCAGGTGTGTGGTGCGTGCAGGGACCACCAGGTTGGAGAGGCAGCAGCCACGCGGTGTGAGGCGTTTGTGTAGCCTGTGCGGAGAGGAGAGAACAGGGATAGGCAGAGGCATAGTTGACAGGCTGTAGCAAATGGCTACAATAATGCAGAGGAGATCGGAATGAAATGAACTAAACATCTGGGAAAGGAGAGAGCGGGCCTCCCTCACCACAAACTCCCAAATATAACTCTCCCAACTTCCACCTCAGAAACTATAATTGTTTCACTGAAACACCCGAATAAAACTCTCCCAACTTCCACTTTAGAAATTAGAATTGTTGTAAACTACAGCGGTTCAATGTTTCAAGGAATAGACTCAACTTACTTTATTCAGCTAGCTAACTATGACGCCATAGCTAACTAGCATGCTAGCATCCAATAACACACGGTTTAGCACCAATACTTGGTTACCACAATCTACCAATAGTGTGTTAACACACTAAACAGATAATTCGTGTCCGTGTCTAGTTCCTTTCATAACGCAGCAATAATTAAGCGTTGGCTAGCTAGCACAAATATATTGTATTTAGCTGCTACAGTACTGCTAGCTAGCAATGGCTGCTGTGTTGACTTTGTTTGAAAAACGGCGTCGCTGCGAACGAATGTAGCTGGCTAAAATTATATTGTATTTAGTTGCTATAGTACTGCTAGCTGGTAGCGTTGGCTAGCTAGGAATGGCTGCGGTGATGACTTTGTTTGAAAAACGGCGTCGCTGCGAACGAATGTAGCTGGCTAAAATGATATTGTATTTAGTAGCTACAGTACTGCTAGCTAGCAATGGCTGCAGTGTTGACTTTGTTTGAGAAACGGCGTCGCTGCGAACGAGTGTAGCTGGCTAGCTAACCTCGATAGTTACTCTATACTACACCTTTATCTTTGATACAAATACAACTATGTAGCTAGCCAACATTACACTAATCAAATCGTTCCATTCTAATGTAATGTGTCATATTACCTGCGGAGCGAAGTACAGCATGACTACTCACCTCGCCTACCGGAACCTGTAGAAACATCTCAAGAATGATCAACGGAAACAGGATGCTCCTGAACTCAATTTCGAGTCTCATAGCAAAGGGGCTGAATACTTATATGAATAAGGTATTTCTGTTTTTTTGTTTTTAATACATTTGTAAAAATTTCTAAAAACCTGTTTTCGCTTCGTCATTATGGGGTATTGTGTGTAGATTGCTGAGGAAATTGTTTTATTTAATCCATTTTAGAATAAGGCTGTAACGTAACAGAATGTGGAAAAAGTAAAGGGGTCTGAATACTTTCCGACGGCACTGTATTGTTTATTTGCTATTTTAAATACTGTAATGTATGTTTTGTTGCAGGGTGATCAAGCAGATTGTTTTTATATAGTTGAATCTGGTCAAGTTAGAATCACAATGAAGAGAAGCAGGGTAAGTTTGTGCCTCTTAGCCATATCGTACATAGACATTTTGTTAAGACGGATTTGTGGGATTTTATGTTTGTGTTTATGTTGCTCTCTTATGTCTTCTCTCTAGACGAAAAAAGACAGAGAGGATGAGGAGGTGGATATAGCCACGTGCTCTAGAGGGCAGTACTTTGGAGAACTGGCTCTGGTCACGAACAAACCCAGAGCTGCTTCAGCTTATGCTGTGGGAAGTGTTAAATGTTTAGGTATACTGCCTTTATTATGTGGGCTGTGTCTCAAATCCTTATATACTCCTCCGTCCTTGTCCTAATTGTTTCTCAAAGGTCATTAGAGGAGTCTCCTCCAATTCAGTTTGAGAGGAATTGAAGAAACAAGGAAACTGTTTAGAGTCATCCCTTCCTGTGTCTTACACCTCTCCTCTTGTGTTTACCAGTTATGGACGTCCAGGCGTTTGAGAGGTTGCTGGGCCCCTGCATGGACATCATGAAGAGAAACATTGCAAATTACGAACAGCAGCTGGTCACGTTGTTTGGAAATAGCACCACTGACATTGAGGAGAAAACCCAATGAAAACCAGAAAGGGAAAAAAGACTAAGTGAGATGCACTATGATGATGAAGATGTGAGAAACCAGGGTAACACTTTACTTGACACCCAGCATCATAACACGTTATGACACGGTCATAACCATGTCATAATATGTCATAAAAGCTGACATAACATGTCATAACACTGTCTTGACCCATATATTTACACCTGTTGTGACATATATTGCGTTATTTTATGGCTGGTTATGATACCTGTTTTTTCCCTGCCAAGAAGTTTCCTTTCTTTTGAAAGTTTGTTTCTTAAGTCTTAAGTTTCTATCATATTTTAAATAAATGGCAGAAAATACACTTTATGACACTGTCATGAAGCATTATGACCATCCTGTGTCACTTTAATTGGACTAAGAAAATACGCTTTCTGACACTGTCAAGAAGCATTATGACCATCATAATCATATAAGCCAGATATACCTATCACATACATGCCCTTATGTCAGTCATCAGTCAAAAAGAGGGTGTCTTGTCCTGCTCCTGAAATCTGCTCCTGCATTCATCCCAGTCATCAGCAACAGAGCACTGGGGTATGTGCATGTCTGACATCAATTTTTGCGCAATTACAATAATTTAATATGGTCAATTTCAGAAAATGTTATATAACATAAACATACTGTTGACAAGTAGGCTATGGTGAAATGGAATGTTTTGCCTTGTGTGGTAGGTTTTGTGGGTTTTGACACTCTAATGTAGGTGTCATAACCAGCCATAAAATAACTACCGTGGTAAGTTTTGTGGGTTTTGACACTCTTATGAAGGTATCATAACCAACCACAAAAATATTGCAATATACAGGTCTAAATATATGTGTCATGACTGTGTTATGACCACATTATGACAGGTTATGACAAGTTATGTCAGCTGTTATGACATAATGACGCTGGGTGTCAAGTAAAGTGTTACCGAAACCAGTGGGTAGAAAGTATTGTATTCCTTTCAGAAAATGTAAAACACAGTATGTTACCATTGGTGATTTAGATAGGGTAAGACAAAATGTGTACATTTGATTCCAGATGACATACAATGGTATGTTTTAAAGGATTTTGTCTGGGAGTAATATCTTTATTGAAAGAAAGATTAGTGTTAATCCAAAATGTCAATGTTCATTTGTTCTGTCCTTACAACCTTTTCCTCTTAGATTTTCTACAAGTTTGCATTTCATTGAATTTATCACATTTTGACATTTTAAGTCACTTGTTTGTATAATGATCACTATAAAATTATGGATGATATATAAATTGGCCTTTCAAATATTATGATAATATCATATTTCATCATGTGCCAAAGGCCATTCAAGTCCTAGTTAGATTATGATGGTGTCACCATAATGTCACGGTCATCATTGCATTTCACATTTAAGTTTTTTGTTAATAATTTGATATTCTCGTGTTGACTTATCTTTTAGCAAGGGGTACCATGCATTTAATAGGATACAAAAGGGAACTAGGTCATTTTGTTTCAACATGGGGGTATGAACAAACAATTGTGTCATAAAACGAAGGGATGAATAGAACAATGTATGTTGATTTCCTAATGTTGCACTGACATTATACATTCACTTTTCTTTTAAAACAGACTTGGGTTTGTGTTGATCTTTTGTTCTACATCAGAAAATACGGGAAAAAGAGAGCTTCTTTCTACATCATAGAATGTACATTTACCCATGGAAGCAGTAGTCTTTTTTTCATAGCAAATGTGTCTCCTCAAACATGTGATTCAACCGCCTGAACATGTCTGTGAACAAACTGTAATACATTCTTCACTGTATGCTTTAAGAAACAGTTAATAATGCCATACTTTTGCACAACAAAATAATAATAGTTTTGTAAGAATATAAATACAGTTGGCTGACCATGTAAGTATTTGATATTAAATCTTTGAGCTCTTGAATCCTCTAAGCTGCAGCACTAGACACTAGTCACCATACCAGTAATATGGTTTTTGAACACATTATTGTCTTTATTGAGATAGTTTATTTCCTTGTGTTTCTCATCTTAAATGTAAATGTTTTGTTATTAAATGCAACTGTTCTCGTGTGCCAGTGAAACATAATAATATGCGGCTTTTAGCCATGACTTCAACGACATTGATAAAGTATGTCCCAAATCGCACCCTATTCCCTACATAATGCACTGCTTTTGACCAGAACCCTATGGGCCCTGGTCCAAAGTAGTGCACTATATAGGGAATAGGGTGCCATTTGGTACATAGCCATAGTTATACTGTATTTATTGCTGTCTACCTCTACATAAATTACAAACAACCTGTACCTTTTGGAAAAAGTGCACAATGGTCCCCTGCTCTCTCAGTAACAGTTTCTCTCTCTCTGTGTCTCTCTTTCTCTCTGTCTCTCTCAATTCAACTCAATTCAAAGGGCTTTATTGGCATGAGAAACGTATGTTTACATTGCCAAAGCAAGTGAAATAGATAATAAACAAAAGTGAAATAAACAATCAGAAATTAACAATAACATTACATTCACAAATGTTTCAAAGGAATAGAGACATTTAAAATGTTATATTATGGCTATGTACAGTGTTGTAACAATGTGCAAATAGTTGAAGTACAAAATGGAAAATAACTAAACCGATAAATATGGGTTGTATTTACAATGGTGTTTGTGATTCACTGGTTGTCCTTTTCTTGTGGCAACAGGTCACATATATTGCTGCTGTGATGGATCACTGTGGTAGTTCACCTAATAAAAATTGGATTTGTTTTCGAATTCTTTGTGGGTTTGTGTAATCTGAGGGAAATATGTGTTTTAATACGGCAGCCTCTCAATAGCAAGGCTGTTCCACTGAGTCTGTACATAGTCAAAGCTTTTCTTAAATTTTGGGCCAGTCACAGTGGTCAGGTATTCTGCCACTGTGTACTCTCTGTTTAGGGCCAAATAGCATTCCAGTTTGAGAAAAAAAAAAGTTAATTCTTTCCAATGTCTCAAGTAATTATATTTTTGTTTTCTCATGGTTTGGTTAGGTCTAACTTGGCTTATACGTGAGGTAGTTTACTATTCGTTTTTTTTAATGGTATGATTCCCCTCTAACTTTGTGCTAGCAGTGCTTTTGATTTTGTGAAGAAGGCTCACTACAGACTGTGGAACTTTGCATATAGCTGAGGAAATCAATTATTATTGTCTGTTGTCGGTTATATCTAACTTTTTATTACAATAAAGAACAGTTTTGTATTAAGAAGCTGCTACGCTCATTTCTTTTAGGCACTAACTTCACTCAAGATGACAATATTGGTTAATGACCAATATTAACTAATTGAAGTATTTGAGTCTCTAACATTGTCTAATTGCTGCTGGACTTGTCATGCAGGGTGTCCTTGCAAAATAAACCTTGGTCTCAATGGGACTTCGTGCTAAAATAAAGGTGAAATAAAATACACAAAAAAAGAAAATACACTGCTCAAAAAATTAAAGGGAACACTTAAACAACACAATGTAACTCCAAGTCAATCACACTTCTGTGAAATCAAACTGTCCACTTAGGAAGCAACACTGATTGACAATAAATTTCACATGCTGTTGTGCAAATGGAATAGACAACAGGTAGAAATTATAGGCAATTAGCAAGACACCCCCAATAAAGGACTGGTTTTGCAGGTGGTGACCACAGACCACTTCTCAGTTTCTATGCTTCCTGGCTGGTGTTTTGGTCACTTTTGAATGCTGGCGGTGCTTTCACTCTAGTGGTAGCATGAGACGGAGTCTACAACCCACACAAGTGGCTCAGGTAGTGCAGCTCATCCAGGATGGCACATCAATGCGAGCTGTGGCAAGAAGGTTTGCTGTGTCTGTCAGCGTAGTGTCCAGAGCATGGAGGCGCTACCAGGAGACAGGCCAGTACATCAGGAGACGTGGAGGAGGCCGTAGGAGGGCAACAATCCAGCAGCAGGACTGCTACCTCCGCCTTTGTGCAATGAGGAGCAGGAGGAGCATTGCCAGAGCCCTGCAAAATGACCTCCAGCAGGCCACAAATGTGCATGTGTCTGCTCAAACGGTCAGAAACAGACTCCATGAGGGTGATATGAGGGCCCGACGTCCACAGGTGGGGGTTGTGCTTACAGCCCAACACCGTGCAGGACGTTTGGCATTTGCCAGAGAACACCAAGATTGGCAAATTCGCCACTGGCGCCCTGTGCTCTTCACAGATGAAAGCAGGTTCACACTGAGCACATGTGACAGACGTGACAGAGTCTGGAGATGCCGTGGAGAACGTTCTGCTGCCTGCAACATCCTCCAGCATGACCGGTTTGGCGGTGGGTCAGTCATGGTGTGGGGTGGCATTTCTTTGGGGGGCCGCACAGCCCTCCATGTGCTCGCCAGAGGTAGCCTGACTGCCAATAGGTACCGAGATGAGATCCTCAGACCCCTTGTGAGACCATATGCTGGTGCGGTTGGCCCTGGATTCCTCCTAATGCAAGACAATGCTAGACCTCATGTGGCTGGAGTGTGTCAGCAGTTCCTGCAAGAGGAAGGCATTGATGCTATGGACTGGCCCGCCCGTTCCCCAGACCTGAATCCAATTGAGCACATCTGGGACATCATGTCTCGCTCCATCCACCAACGTCACGTTGCACCACAGACTGTCCAGGAGTTGGCGGATGCTTTAGTCCAGGTCTGGGAGGAGATCCCTCAGGAGACCATCCACCTCATCAGGAGCATGCCCAGGCATTGTAGGGAGGTCATACAGGCACGTGGAGGCCACACACACTACTGAGCCTCATTTTGACTTGTTTTAAGGACATTACATCAAAGTTGGATCAGCCTGTAGTGTGGTTTTCCACTTTAATTTTGAGGGTGACTCCAAATCCAGACCTCCATGGGTTGATAAATTTGATTTCCATTCATAATTTTTTGTGTGATTTTGTTGTCAGCACATTCAACTATGTAAAGAAAAAAGTTTTTAATAAGATTATTTCATTCATTCAGATCTAGGATGTGTTATTTTAGTGTTCCCTT